CTCCTCAGAGGTGCTGTGTCTGGTAAGCTTGCTTTAACAGGCCCCTGAGCCGCGACGGAGGGCTTGTGACTGACCTAATGATTCATTCCTGAAAAATGTTACCTTCATCAATTTTGGACTTGGTTTCCTTGGTGGTTTTTGAAAGGGGGAGTGGCTTTGCACTCCAGTGGAAACAGTGGCTCACATAATTACATTATAATTTTTAAAAACAGGGAGGGGTTCACACCTATAACAGTCTTGCTCCAGAGAGCTAGAAAAAAAGTAGTTTCTTCCTTTAGGCTGGTGTTTGTTTTTTTTTTTTTGTTTGTTTTGGTTTGGTTTGGTTTGTTTGGTTTTTTTGGTTTTTTTTTTTTTTTTTCCTCTTGCTCTCTTTCTGGAAAGGCCTATGCAGGCCTTCTCCTATGGGCCCAGAACAGTTCTCTTCCAGCCAGAAGCCTATTAGCAACGGCTCCACAGTGTGTTTTGTTTCCTTTGAACGGCAGGTCACCCTTGTAAGCATGGCTCTTGTGTTATCAAATTAACTGAAAATATTCAGGTAGGCTTACCTACCAAGTTTCAGATCGATAACTACTCCAGTATAGGCTAGCAAGTCACTTCTTGCAGCTATTAGAGCTACTCGGCAAGTACGACTTCCCTACCCAATAGGTTCATAGGCATTTTATTTTCTCTCTTTTTTAGAAACTCAACATGTGAACTTCAGGAGACAGAGTCTAGTTTAGATGGTACCTAAAAATAAATCTCTCTTCACGGTGGTCTCTGCTAAGACCAACTATCAAATACTTTATTACCGACAGTGTCAGCTGTGGTGCTGGAAAGCACCTCAGCAGGTAGCGTTGCTTGGCTCAGAAAAATTCCTCTCCAGTGCTCTTCTAGCACAGTTTATCATGTGCACAGCCACAAGAATTGACCTAGGAATCCTAAGTTCTGGCACATTTACCTACTTGGTGAAAACAATGCATACACCACCTGCAATGTTTCCCCCTACTCGTTGGTCTGAAATCAGAATTGTGTTAGGGACCGAAAAAAAAAAAAAAAAAAAAAGTCAAGACCTCCCCCCTTTTTTTAATTGAATAATGGTTTGGCCACTTTATCTAAATTCATCATATCTTGGAGAACTAATATTTCATGCATCTTGTTTGGATCTTTCTAACTGCAAGTATTAATGTCCCCTTTCACCTAATATCTTGGCAGTCCTGTTCCAGACAAACATGTCTTTCTGTAAGAAAGACTAAGGGAAAAGATGTATAAACAATGCTTGTAACCCTCCTGAAGATTTCAGAACGTTCTGAAAGCATTAACTGCAGTTTTACGTCACCTCTATCAGATAACACCATCCCTAACCTAAAACCAGGGGCATTCTGAAGCCAAGACTCTTGCTTGTGTATAGAAAGCGTCCTCATTGATATAGCCCAAATTCACGTATTTCTAACTCTGCACTTTATTCACGGGGCGACACTTCGGTGCCTCATCTGTTTAGCCATAATCATAATTTTGATCCCGTTTCTGGCCCTCCTCCTCCGGTCTTCGGAGCGATCTCCCCGGTTGTCTCCGTAAAGGCATCACGAAACGTGCCTGCTACAACTTCCCCTTTCTAACTCCTCAGGCAAGCAACGAGCCCTTAAAAGCTTCCCCGCCGGGCTGGCTCTCCCCGGGGCAAGCTAACGCCGAGGCTTTCAGCCGCCCCGGGCTCCGCCGCAGCACCACCTCGTATTTTCCTTCAGCCGAGGGACACGGGGCTGCCCGGCCCGCTTGCCCTGCTGGAGCAACCCCAATAGTTTCCATTCAATCAGCCCAGGTACCCGGCGTTGTAAAGAGGACACATTAACCCCGCTGCCTACAGTGTATCTTATAAACACCGTCTATTATTTTTCACCTGCTGCCTGCTTGGGGAAGAAAAGCACCCGCTTTACTCCGTCCCGGTGACCTGAGCACGGCAGAAAAACTCGCCATAACCTAGAAACAGGCTGCTTCCAACTAAGCTACATCATTACGGAAAACACATTTTACCCCAGTCTCTTAAAACCTAACAAACGAATGCTGAAACGAGCCTGGTATCACCGACAGCGATCTTTTCCGACTCCTTCACTACACAAATAGCACAAAGGCCGAATTCACAGGACTGGTTTTGCGGGAAACCATTAACTGGCATTACAGCTTCAGACTAGAACACGCATCATCCCAGATTTCTTAAAAAGAGCAACACGGAAGCGCTCGCAACTTAGAAAAAACCAAGCAGATGAAAACCTCTGACCCGCACCTAATCACCTGCAAGCGAAGTGCACGAGTTCGTCGTTTCAAACCGTATTAGGTGACAAAACCCAAGCTTGCAACACAGGCAACGTCCTCCCTCACAACAAAGGAGTAAAATACTCTTTTATAGGCAACACCCGCGCCAAATAAAGCCAACGGGAGTTTTGGGGTTACGTCGGCAGTATGGACACTTGATTTGTAGCCGGTGGTCGCGCCCGGGAGCGGGAGGGTGAAGGCGCCCGGGCAGAAGCCAAGGCCTGCGCTCCCCCGCTCCCCTCACCCAACCTGCCGTGCCCTTCTCCTGCCTCGCTTCCTTGCCTCGACGCAAAGGCTCGACAACCTCCCATGAGGAGCTGTCGGGACCTGACACCGTGATTTGGAGAGCCTGAAATTCAGTTTAGGCATCACCAAAATCGGCAGAGAAACCTGACGGGACTTTCGTACAACCAAGGACGGCTGTTGCCTTGGTCTAAGCAAATAAACATAAAAGTAGTAAATAAACATTAAAGAAGTAAAACTCTAGAGCCCCTACTGGGGCAAAATCAAATTCCAGTGTTAGTTTTGCCTAAAAATTCAGCACAACAGAAGTGCCCCTGTTCACAGCAATAACAACATTCGGCTTAAAAAGCACCACAGCACCCCACAAGATCGGAAAATCAGCTTGAAATCACACACCTGAGTCACACGCATTCCGATTCTGAGAGAATTTGTTGAAATCACAATACTTATTCCAATTAGCATTCTCACCGAGGCAACCAATGCGATTAAAAAAAATAAAAAATAAACAAAGGTATAAAGCGTCCTCAGTGAGAAGATTAACCATCTCACCAGTCACTAACACCCAGACCCTTCATTTTCCTTGCGCATAAATAAGGGTATTTCACAATCACACAGGAGTGACTGCTCAGTCCCCGGGGGACCAAGGGAGGAAGGATACTCTCGGACAATTCTTCGGCAAGGGGGAAGCAGCTCAAAATTCTGTTTTCCACTACTGCAAGCCCCTTCTGATTCCCCTCTTCTTAAACCGCGCGGTAGAAACCCAGTGTCACCGAGTCTCACCCGACTGCTGGGACCAGAAGAGTAGACCACCCAACTTGGTCTTCTTCCGATGTATTTTTGAACCTCCTACTAATGCTAGGACTTGGAACAAGATGCCAAGGCAAAGCAAGGCATGGAATGACGGAGCCTCAGGCCAGTCTGCTGGGACAGGAGCGATTCTGCACCCGCAGGAACCGACAGCGCTTCAGAAACCAGCACCAGCTGAGCAACGGAAGAACTTGGAAGATTGAGGAGGGCGGGTTGGGAAAAATCCGAAAAAGAACTTTACTAGCGATTATTTCCTTCGTACGTACACATACAGCATGAGAAAGGAGAGGGGGGGAGGGAAAAAAAAAAAAAAAAAGAAGAAATTCAGACTTCTCTTTAAGAATCCTTGGATTTAAATATATATATATTTATTAAAAAGAGACATTGACTCTATGGCCAAGACATCATGCGTCTCAGAACAGGTTTTTACAGCCATGTTATAAAAACCCCTTAGCAAAGCAGTTATGCACTAGACTTCAAACACATGTACTCCAAGAATGACACTGGTGTGGAGGATCTTGTTTTACATCCATTTATTTTTGTCCCTCAGCAATTATAGCATAGTTTCAATACATTTCTAAAGCTATAGAGAAATACCAGGGCAACTAGAGTACATACAAGCCAAAGTTAAAATGGTAGACAGCTGAATTAAAAAAACAAAACAAAACAAAACAACAAATACAAACAAAAGAAAAAATAAAAGAAAAAAAGAAAAAAAAAAAAAAGTACGCATTCAGCAGGAAATTACTATACTTCATTCAGTTTAGGCTTTGTTCTTTAGGGAACAAGGTGCTAACGTGCCATTTTCTCATAAAATGAATCATAATTGCTTCCAAAGAGTTTCTGCTGAAAATTTAGGTGGAAGCAAATAAGTGTAACACTAAACTTTCGCCTATAAACTTAGAAGCAACACTTTCTTGAATCAATTTCCACCCTCCAAATACCACTGCTGCTTTTCTTGCACCAACCCACTGTTTTATTAAGGCATAATATGCCCTGAGCAAGATGCTGGAAATTAGCCAAAAAGCCTAACAATTAAAGGCAAGCACCAAGTGATTATTTTTATAGACAAATTTTGAAATCTGCTCTGTAACTCACCTGTACTTGGGAGTAGCACTTGAGGAAAAAAAAAAAAAAGAAAATATTGCTCTTAATTACTCTGAGAAGAATGGCAGTGTGAATTCCCCCTCTCTCCCTCCAGGCTAAAGTTTTCAAGCAAATCCGTCTGGGTACCTAAGTAGGACCAGCGCATTGAGGGTGGGACGCCTGCTCAAGAGCTTAATTTTTAAGCAACTCGCTGTAAAAATTTCAGTGCCCCACCCTAAGCGATTTGAATCAAATCTTAAGTTTCCTCAAGAGGCAAGACTCTCATACGCTGGATACCTCTGGTCTTAAAAGCAAGATGGAGCCTGGACAGGAGAATCGTACACTGTACATGCTCAGACTGCCTTCCAGTCTTCTTTTTAAAGGCAGAAAAGCCTCCAAATTACCTGGTGCACTGCCCAATTTCTCTAAAAGATGCACAGCGTTACAGAGTCCAGGATCCAGGAAGGTAGTTTTCAAAGCTAGTGCTAACAGCGCACACGACTTTATACAAATTTAGGCAATACTGGCTAGTCCCTTTAAGCTACCAGAGTATCCGTAAAAGAAAGACAACCAAATTATACATTTTATTCACATTTATTTTTCGCTTTTAGTGTGCTCACAGAAAATTAGAACACCTTAAGCAGGAGTTTAATAGCAATTTTTGTAAGCAAAGTTACATTCCATCTCTAAGTCAAATTGGTCAAAGCTTCTCCAGTATTTACAAAAACATGATAGACAAGATGCTACACAAAAAAACCCATTGCATCTGAAGAGTTTTCCTTTATTTTCAAAGACAACTGGAAAAGAAAGCATTGTCTGCTGTAATCAAAAACATACCACAGTATAAACAGTAACCATTCCACTTATCACAGCTTGGTTGAGTTTAAAATTTGTGTTTAAAAGGTCCAAGATGACTGCAGTTTTACAAAAATGGGCAGGGTGGAAAGAGTTGCAAACTTCATGTGCTTCTGGATATCAAGATTTGTTTTTTTGTTTTTTTTTTTTATACAATAGTCACAGTTAAAAACACCCTGCTGGTAATACATAATTACACTTTATTAAGGTCATAAACCAGCAATAAACAATAAAGCCTATACAACTTGTATTTCTACTTAATCACTGACTGATACAGCTAACATGAGATAAGTGAAAAGTTCCTATGGTTTAAATGAATTCCTAAGACTATGATCTCTTTATCTGGGTATTGATTTTTTTTTTTTTTTCCTTTTTCCTTTCCTTCTTAATCAAGACTTGTAGTGTTGTAAACCTTATAGAACATCTGCCTCACAAAATACATCGTAATAACTTTCTTTTAAAAAAAAAAAAAAAAAGACTAACCCCTTACATCATTTCTGGCGGGGCGCGCTCCCGGCGAGGGCTGCGCGCCCCGGGTTCCCCACTGCGGCCCCTGTCACTTCATTTGATATCCCTTATTGACCCACCCATCTCCTTCATATATGGGCATGTCCATAGACCGATCGGGAAAAAGTTTCATAATATGAGGAGAGTTGTGAAAATAATAAAAAAAAAAAAAAAAAAATTAAAAAAAAAAACAAAAACACGAAAACCAAAAAACCCGAACCAACCAAAACAAAACATTAATACTGATGAAAAAAAAATAAAAAAAAATTTAAAAAACCAAAAATATAGAGGGTGGGAGAGGAGGGCGGAGGGGGGCCCCCCCACCGCCCGTTGGAATGGCGGCAACACACAACGGTTTGAGATGGGAGCTGCGGGAGAGGGGGGGGGGGGGGCGGGAGGAAAAAAAAAAAAAACCCAAACAACAAAAAAAAAAAAAGAAACGAGACATCTTTTAAATCAATCCCTGGTTGTAGACAAGTTCTCCGAGACCAGTACCTGGCACCACTCCAACAAACAAACAGGGGGGGTGGGTGGGTGGGTGGGGGGGGGGGGGGGTGGAAGAAAAGTCCGTCGGCGAGGAGGAGGAGGAGGAGGAGGAGGAGGAAGGGAGGAAGGGGGGGGGGGGGGGGTGTGTGGTGTTGGCGAGCCGGCGGCGCTCACTCCGCCGGCTCGGCGGCGGGCCCCTCCGGACTGCTCTCGGAGGGGGGCTCCTGCCGCGCCGCCGCCGGCTCCTCCGCGGGGGCCGCCTCCTGCTCGCCGCTTCCCGCCTCACTCGTGGCGGCGCCGGCCGCCGCCTCCTCCTTCGCCTTCCCCTCCGCCTGTTGCTGCTGCTGCTGCTGCTGCTGCTCTTCCGAAACCGCCGCTACCGGGGCCTCTTCCCCCGCCGCCTTCTCCGCGGCGGCCTCGTCCGATTTGGCCTCCTGCGAGTCCCCCGCCTCCTCCTTCCCCGCCTCGGCGCTGCCGGCGGCGGCCGCGCAGGCCTCCTCGGCGGCCGCCTTGCCCTCCTCGCCGCCCGCCGCCTCAGGGGCCGCCGCCGCCTCCTCCTTCCCGCCCTCCGCGGCGGCGGCGGCGGCGGCGGCGCCTCCCTCGCTCTCGGCGCCCTCGCCGGCCTCCTTCTTGTTCTTCTTGAAGGAGAAGCCGCTGAGCTTAAAGGACTTCTTGAAGGAAAAGCGCTTCTTTTTTTTTTTCGGGGTCTCGCCGCTGGACGAAGGGGTCGCGCCCTCCTCAGTCTTGGGGGAGGACTCGCCCTCCGCCGGGGAGGCCGGCTCGGTGCTCTCCGCCTCGGCCGCCTCCTTCTCGGAGGCGGGTTCCGACGAGGCCGCCTCCTCCTTGCCCGTCTCCTCGGCGGGCGCGCTGCCGTTGGCCTGCACCTCCTCCTTGCCCGCCTCCGCCGCCGCGGGGGAGGCGTCGCCGTTCGCCTTCACGTGGCCGTTCTCCTGCAAGACAGCGACGGGGGTTACCGGCGGGTGCCGAGAGGGGCGGGGAACGGAACGGGCGGCACGCGAGGGGCCTTCCCTCGCCCGCTTTTTGCTTCCAAACCCCCGGGCACGCCGCCGCCGCACACCCCCCCCCCCCGCAATAATCCCCGCCCCGGGCGCCCCCAGCGGCGGGCGGCGGCCGCCAGAGGGCGCCGCGGTTCCACGCAGCGGCGGCGGCTCCGCGCCCCCCCCCGGGCGGGGAGGGGACGGGTAACAAAGCTCGCCCCCCCCCCCCCCCCCCCCCCCGCCGCTGCCCCGCTCCGCCCGGGCGGTGCGGCGAGGCGACCCCCCCCCCACACACACCCCCCCCCCCCCCCGCACCTCTGCCCGCGCCGCATTTGCATCTTCCCGGCGGCCCGGAGCGCGGCTGTGGCCGCCCCGGGAAGGGGGGGGGGGGGTGCCCGCCCCGGGAGGGGGGCACGGCCAGCCCGGCAGCCGGTTCACGCGTGGAGGGAGGGAGGGAGGGAAGGGGGGGGGGGGGGGTGTGTGACAAAAAGGCCGTGCCCCCCCCCCCCCCCCACCACCCCCGGCGGAGCTGCCCCGCGCTCCCGCCGAGCCCCCGGCCCCCGCCGCCACGCAGCCGCCGTCCCGCCGCCACGGCGGGCGTTTCGCGCGAGTGGCAACCGAGCGTCTCCGGGAGGAGGAGGAGGAGGAGGAGGTTAAAGCGGGCAGAAAAGCCGAGCGGTATCGGAGCCTGCCGTTTAAGAGCCGCTGGGACGCTTCACCGTAATACACGAGGGATTAACCGAAAACAAACCTCCCCCCCCCCCCCCAAAAAAAAAAATTAATAACAAAAGCAAAACAAAAAAACAACAACAAAAAAAAGGGAAAAATATGTGCCCCTCTCATCCTTCCCCACCCCCACCCCCCCCGAGCAGGAAAGATAAAGGAACGAATCATTCAAAGCCGAGCCCGTTTAAAAAAAGATAAAGAAATTATTCCTTTGCCTCGAGTTGCAAAGATAAAAGGATCGACCGTATTGTCCATTCAACGTGCCACTGGGGCATCAAAGGAAGAAGAATTAAACAGGATGCGAAAGAGAGTCCGTCCAAGTTGGCTTAAAAAAAGGAGTAGGTTTAATATTTTTTTAATTTCGGGTTTTGCTTTGTTTTGGTTTTTTTTTTTTTTTTTTTTTATTACCTGTCCATTCGCCTTGGATGGAGATGCAGCCACTGCTTCCCCAGGTTTCTCGGCGGAGGCTTCGCCCTTTGCAGCGGTCTTGGAGAACTGGGCACCCATGCTGTCTTATTCAACAAAGAAACTCAACAGATCCAAAAGGAGGGGAAACAAAGAGCGTTGGGTTGGTATAAATACTGGGCGACCAGCAGCAGCAGCAACACACACACACACCAGAGGGGAAAAAAAAAAAAAAAAAAGAGAAGAGAGAACAGAACCGATTATAATGCACTCCTTTTAAAAAATTTAAAGTTGAAGAGATCAAAAAGCAGCAGCACAGGAGGGAGGGGAAAAAAAGGGAGGAAAAAGTCGAGCAAAAAAAAAAAAAAAAAAAAAAAAAAAAAAAAAAAAAAAAGGAGCCCAAGTTTAGTAAAAAGAAGTAATAAAAAATCCCAGATTTGTAGCCGTACTGTAGACAAGGAGAAAATGGAGAAATCTCCCTGGTTGCTAATAAGATGCGGAGTCCAACGCCCAAGTGCACAGATGAATGGGCTTCCCGAGCGGTGACGGCAGCCCTCCGCCCGGCGCCGGCCAATCGCCGCCGCGCCACACAAAGGGGGGCGGGGCCTGGCCGCCCGGCGAACAATGGAGCCGCGATGGCAGCGGTTTGAAATCAGCCCCCCGGCCGATAATGAATGTGCCGCTCCGGCGCGGCGCGGGCGGGCGCGCGGAGCCCCGCGCCGGGTCGCGAACAAAAACACCCCGATAAAGCGGGGCGGGCGGGCAGAAACAATGGTGCCCCCCCCCCCCCCCCCCCACCCCGGGGCGGGGGGGACGCGCCGTGAGGATGAGTGTGAGTTCGTCCCGGCCCCGCCGCCCGCCCCCACCGTGAGAGAGCAACAGATAGTGTGTGTGTGTGTGTGCGTGTGCGTGTGCGAGCCCGGGGCGGGCGGGGGGAGAGGGAAGGAGGAGATTTGCTGCTTTGCCTTTTTTTTTTTTTTTTTTTTTTTTTTTTTTTTTTTTCTTCTTCTTCCCCGGGTTTAATTGGTCGCGATTGTTAAATCGCCCCCCAATTTGGAAGGTATTTGAACCACGTAGATCGGGTTTCGCCAAACGAGATCACGAGTCGAAATTAGTAGGTCTGTAGGCCAGATGTTGCGAACGCCAAAGCAGCGGCGGCAGGAGCCGCTGCCGAAGCAGAAACGGACCCTTCCCCCCCCCCCCCAGCGATATTGGCTTGGAATAAAATATTTCGCGATCAGCCTACGGCTCTAATTAAATTCGGCTGTCTGATTATTCCTGATTTGTGTTTTTAAAGTATTTTCTGAGGCGGTGACCCATTTCAACGTTACATTTCCATGCGCTCAAGCAGTGGGCGAAGCGACATGAGCAGGGAAACATTTTTTGCGCTTTCCCAAACCCCAGCCCCGAGCGTGTATTTACGTTGAATTTAAACCCTCGAATAAGATGTAACCCGAAACTAATGCATGCGAATTAACGGTGATCTCCAGCGCTCAGCAGCGCCCGGGTGGGTGGAATAGCACGGATCTGATTGATTTCCTTTCTCGGGGAGGGGGCGGCGTGTGCGTGGGGCCAGCCCGCTCCCTCCGCGCTGCGATGCGGGAAAGGCTGGCCCCGACCCACCCCACCCCCCCCCCCGGCCCCCCCCTTTTTAAGGAGCAGAAACGAGCGTCAGAACGATCGTGTTGGGGGTCTGTGGTTTTTTGGTTGCTTGCTTTTTTTTTTTTTTTTTTGTGTGTCTGTGTGTGTCTGTGTGTGTGTCGTGTTTCCCCCCCCCCCCCCCCCCCCCCCCAAAACTCGGGTAATCTCCTTCCAAACGCCTCTTGTTTATAAACAAGGAGGTTAAAATCATTCCCATAATGAAGGGCTGCGGAGAGGGGAGGCTCGGCCCAGCCGCCCACCCCCCCCGGCTCCCCCCGCGGCTCCCCCCGGGGCTGGCGGGGCCGGTGGGGCTTTGTGCGGCCGCCTCCGCCTTTCGGGAACCCCGGCGCGGGCAGCCGGTTATTTTCAGCCGGTCCAGAGAATATTTCGCTTACTTGGAGGCAAAAGGGGCATTTGGTTGGTGGTTGTTGTGGGTTTGGTTTCTTGTTTTGTTTTTTTTTTTTTTTTTTTGTTTTTTTTTTTTTTGTTGTTTTTTTTTTTTTTTCGGGGGGGTGGGGGGAATGGAGCACCTCCCTCCCCCCCCCCCCCCCCCCCGCCCCCCGCCGCATTTCACGCACAGCTCCGCCGATCCCTTTGTCTCGGCCGCCCAACCCGCTGCAGCGGCCTCCCGCTCCCCCGCGGGGCTTCTTCCCCCTTTCCACCCGCGGCCGCGCACGCCGCGCCGGCAACACCCGCACCCCCCCCCCTTCCCCCCGGGGGGGGGGCGGCCGCTGGCCCCGCCGGGGTGAGCACCCGCGGGTGGGGGGCGGGGGGTGCCTGGGGTGCCGCCGCCTCGTCCCGGGGCTCCCTCTGGGGGTCCCTCACCCGTCCCCCTCCTCCCCCGGGAGGGCGTGGGGGGAGCGGTGTACGGAGGAGGGCACGGGCGGCAGAAGGGGATGGGTGGGTGGGTGGAAGGATGGATGGAGGGATGGAAGGGTGGGTGGAGGGATGGAGGGATGGAGGGATGGAAGGGTGGATGGAAGGATGGAAGGATGGATGGATGGATGGATGGATGGATGGATGGATGGATGGATGGATGGATGGATGGATGGATGGATGGAAGGATGGAGGGATGGAAGGATGGAAGGATGGAGGGATGGAGGGATGGAGGGATGGAAGGATGGATGGAGGGATGGAAGGATGGAGGGATGGAAGGATGGATGGATGGATGGATGGATGGATGGATGGATGGATGGATGGATGGATGGATGGAAGGATGGAGGGATGGAAGTATGGAAGGATGGAGGGATGGAAGGATGGAGGGATGGAAGGATGGAGGGATGGATGGATGGAGGGATGGATGGATGGAGGGATGGATGGAAGGATGGAGGGATGGAGGGATGGAAGGATGGAGGGATGGAAGGATGGAGGGATGGAAGGATGGATGGAAGGATGGAGGGATGGAGGGATGGAAGGATGGAGGGATGGAAGGATGGATGGATGGAAGGATGGAGGGATGGATGGAGGGATGGAAGGATGGAGGGAGGGATGGAAGGATGGAGGGATGGATGGAAGGATGGAAGGATGGATGGATGGAAGGATGGAGGGATGGATGGCGAGAGCTGCGGAGGGGCTCACCCTGTGGAGACACGACCATGGGGCACGGACAGCCAGACAGCTTCCTCCTCCGTGATTCTCCTCCACTTCCCGAGGGGACTCCACGCGAGGTGTTTTCTCTGCTCCTTTTAATCTGGATGCTAAGCAGATCGTGATTTTGTTATTCCTGCTTTGGGGCTGTCTATTTTTTGGGTTTGCCTTTTTTTTGTTTGTTGGGTTTGTTTTGTTGGGGCTTTTTGCTGTTGTTGTTTTTTGGTTGGGTTTTTTTTGTTTGTTTGGTTGGTTTTTTTTTTTTTTTTTTGACACTGGTTGAAGTAACAGACCGCCTGAGAAGACCTGCTGGAAGACCACGACAGGACTTCACCATCAGTATCAGAAGTCATCTGTCCACCTTGCACGGGGCTATGCGATTTCACCTGCATGGGCATATACAGTTTTGCTTTCCACCGTAGCTACATCGGAATTGCAAAGTAGTGTCACTGGAAAATTTCACAGAATGACTGTGGGAGTTCTGACGGCGTATGCTTTGCATTATGCTTTTGATATGTTTTTCAACCATTTCAATGTTTTACAACTTTAAGAGATATATATATATATTAAAAAAAAAAAAAAAAAAGAGGCAGAAAAAAAAGCGCCTTTACTGATGTTATTCTACATGCTTATTTCCACAAGTTCTTCTGCAGAGTCTCTGGACAAGCAGGAAATCTGGGATAGACGTGTAGTCCCGCTGTCAGTCCCAGTGTACTACAACCTGGACAGCTATCTCTGCTTTCTAAGCCAAACCCTTGAACTTGAGGTGCAAATACAGGATTTAACCCCTTGACTGACCTCTTGAGCCCACCAGTTACCAGGCTGCTCCCTGTCACGCCACACCTTTAAGCACCATGCGAACAGATATGCTGGAGGGGAGATTCCTCATTCTTAAACTTGCACTTTACTCGAGTTCCTGATCTTTTAATCTTCTTCCAAGAGGAAAAAAAAAAAAAAAAGAAAGAAAAAAAAAAAAAAAAAAAAGAGAAAACCCCCAAACAATCCCTCATTGGTGTATTGCAACAGGACTAATCAGATGTGAACGTGAAAATACCAATTTTCTACAGTGCCTTCCACACGAAAAGTTGTTCCAGTATTTCTTTGGCAGGAACAAGGATGTACCAGTATAAAGATGTTTGCGCATAGACTGTTGGAGATTTAGTGTCTGAGAAAAGTGGTACCATCGTTAAGTGTATTTGTGTTAGGGCTTTTACCACGATAGCCGTGACAGCAAAAAAAATCACGGCCCCCATGTGGCGTGGGTGATGATATTTCCTAAGAACGTGAAAGCCATGACCGAGAGACTGCTCTGAGGAGCCCAAAAATGAACAAGCAGAGACAGGGCTGGGGGGCTGTTCTCAGGGGGGTGGCAGAATTCGCCTCCCCTAGTCCCAGCCAAGGCGAAGGGCCCCGCCGCAGCCGATTTCACGCCGCACCCCCCGGATGAAGCTGCCTTTCCGCAGCACTTCCAAAACGTGACTCCCCTCGGCACGTTTTGCCTGAGATTATTTTCATCCTCTACCTTTTGGGAAGGGGAAGACTGAGGTGCGGACGGTTCGTACGGTGCTGCCCAGCAAACCACCATCCCGGCTGACTCAGAGCCATTAATGCCCGGCTGTGACTTCATGATCATTAACACCGAATTTGTCCCCCTCAGCTACGACTTTATCGGGCACGAACACAAATCCCACTGTCAAGCTAGCCAGGGATAAGCAAGGTATATAGGGTTTACATCAACTTTCCTCTGACCTTCTGGGGGGAGGCGAGAAAAAAAGGTCGCTGGCTTTCGGCCCAAGAGCAGCTGAAGCCAAGTTGCCCCTGGGAAGCGTCTGGCCACAGGTGGAGCAACAGCTGAACGCGGTGCCACGCTCTGGGTTACGTGGCTAGGGAAATCCTGACCCCCCCTCAGGTCCTCCCCAGCTGCAGTTTGCCACCCGAGGAAAGCATGGCTTCCGACTCCCCAACCACCCATCCCACTAATTTTTTTATTATTTGTGTGTGGGGGTTATCCCCGATACCGTATAAAACATTCCTTGTCATCCATTCCTGAAAGGCAGGTAAATGAAACGTTACTTTTATTTGACAGCTCAGGAAAAAGGAGAAAGCAGCTAAATAACAGCTCCCTGCTGGTCTGGCAGCTGCTCTCCGGAGCCCCAGGAAAACCTACCAGTGACACTCACCCTCAGCTAAGGTAAAAGCACAACCATGAACATGTTTTAACTCCTGCTAAATTTTGAAACTTTTAAAAACGTGTCCTAACTTGCCGTACGTAGACGGGACAAATACAAATGTATTTTAACACGTTTGCTGGCAAATGCACTAAAATGCAACACACCCTGTCAACGCTGAGAATTTGAAAACATGTTAATTAAAAGTTTTCACTGACACTTTTTTTTTTTTTTTTTTTTTTTAAATACACCTTTATCCTCGTCCAGGCAAGCCTTTAAAGAAAGTGAATCTAAGAGCGGTTTTGAGAGCTGGAATTCGGTGTTTACCGAAATCCTGAAACAGTGTGTGCTTTCTGGTGTTCCCGTTGTGCCTCTCCCCTGGGCTCGCTGAGCTCGGAGGAGTTGCTGGGAACCCTCCATGTGTCCTGGGGTGCGCGGAGACTTTTCCTCAGTGCAGGGAGGGCAGCGTGCAAAGCAAAAATGATAATCATAGTTTACGCCGAGAGATAA